TCGATCGATCAATCGATGGATGGATGGATGGATGGATGGATGGATGGATGGATGGATGGATGGATGGATGGACAGATTGATCGATTGATGGATGGATGGATGGATGGAGGGAGGGAGGGAGGGATGGAGATAGGGAGGGAGGGAGGGATGGAGATAGGGAGGAGGGAGGATCAATCGATCAATCGATGGATGGATGGATGGATGAATGGATGGATGGATGGATGGATGGATGGATGGACAGATTGATCGATTGATGGATGGATCGATGGATGGATCGATTGGGAACTCTCACTGGAGCCTAGGACGCTGGGCTGACTTAAATGGTGGAATTGCGGACTCGTAACTCCGTGCATTTTCTTTTGAAGTTTAAGCTGTTGCATTTGCCGTACATGGACTTCGGACTTGTCTCGCGCATGCCCTTGCATGGCGCCATGTCAGCGAGCAGATCTGACTGTCTTCCCGGTTGAATGTGTTTTGAAGTTTCAGGCATTATTTTGGGAGGTGCCCAACCACCTTTGTACCACTGAAATTTGCATATATGTTTTCAAAGCTTCAGTCATCTGTGTGCAAATAAATGATGGTTTTTCTATGCGTAGAACAAGAAAAGGCAGGCACTCTCTGAACAAGTGGAAATTGGTGTCTAGCCAGCAAAATCAGTGCGTAGTACTGTGTACTCAGCGTATTGGTGCATGCCCAGCGGATCGGTGCCTAAGAAGGTGGTACAACTATCATCTTTCCAAGTGGAACTCTTAGGCTTTTCTTCAAGCTTTTTGTTGTCGGTGCTCTGTTTTTGTCTTTCTGTTTCCCAATGGTTCCACCCACATCTTGATCTTGTGTGTAACTGTTTGCCTGTCGTTTTCTCCGTCTTCCCCTCGGACTGTCAATCTGTTTTGTGTTTCCGTTTTGGGCCTGTCCGACCACGTCTGCATGCAGCGCCTGAAGGAAGCAGTGGAGTGGCCACAGAAGCATGCGCTGGCGTTTGAGAGAGTGGGTGCAAAACCACCCAAAGGAATTTTGCTGCATGGCCCGCCAGGCTGCAGCAAAACAATGATGGCCAGGTTCGTCACCATCTGACTCACCGTACCTGTTTTTGTGTCGCATGGAAGGTTGGAAACATAGTAAGTCTGGGCTGTGATTCAATCCTTTGCCCCTTATAGAATTGCTATTTACTTCAAAGAGGGGCAGCCCCTAACATTATGGAATCCATCAGGATTTGAACTCCGGGTCTCTTTGTTAAGAGTTATGTTTGTGTCCTGCTCGGCCGCAAGGCGGGTACAATTCTGCTACATGTCTCATTCTAGCGATTTTGTCCCACCCTTCCTTAGTTTACAGATTTAAATTTGAAAGACAATGGTGCTTGTTGCCCTTTGTACTTCTGGTTTGATCAAATAATCATGCCTGGTCATTTGATCGATGATTGCTGTTATGGTTGAGAACAAGCTTTACGAAACTTCCAAAGTGAATGCACCTTGTAGCTTTCCGAGCTCCAACTGCGCAGCAAGTTATGTTTGTCGGGGGTAAAAGCATGAGCTCATTATGGTTGTATACGTCCAGGGTGAAGTGAAATTGCGATCAGATACATCCAGGGAAGTCCCAGTGTGAGTATGCTCTAGAAGTCATTATTGTTGTGGAAGCGGTTTGTTCATTATCCAAAAGCGCTGAAATACTTTTGCAACAGGATAGAACAATGTGTATGTAGCGGATTGAATCTTCATTGGGAGTTTCCGACAAGTGAGTTGAAATGGCGGTCTAGGAGAACCTGTGCTGGTCCCAGCTGGGAAAGTTTGTGATGGACCTTTGAGCGCTAACCGTACATTCAGTTGGTTATTGTCATAAGCACTGACGGGGGGGACCCCTTTTTCGGCCCCTTTCTACCCTGTTGTCAACATAGGGCTGTGGCTACTGAAGCTGGATTGAATTTCATCGCTGTCAAGGTATTCAGCGGCATCCCTATCCTTTTGTTCAAGCCCATCTCATTATCGCAATCCTTTTCTCCATCCTCACTCTCTCTCCTTCTCATCCTGTGTGCTGCTTTTTTGTTGCTTCAACTTGCTTGATCATTTTCTCCGTTGCATTCAGATCTTCTCGCTGCAGATCGACTCTGTGCTGAAATCTGTTACTTGCTAGGTAGTTAAGCTGTACGGCCAGGATGTTCTGCCGGGTCGTCCAGGCCGGACAGGTCTCACCCAGGCAACCTGTCTGGGAATCGGGATGATATCAGCATAGAGCTCCTAGGCTAGAAACGTGTTTGAGCTCCGAGGGGGTCTGAAGGGGTGGAAAAGGGGGGGGGAGGTCAAGAGGGGTCTGAACTGGTGTATCGAAGTGCACTTATTTTGTAGTTCTCCCCCCCAAAAAAAAATTATCCTCAATTTGGTAAGGAAAATGGTGCGGTCCGTCAGGCAAAATGTACACAGCAAAATTGAACAAAACCTTTTCTTGAAATTTCCGGATTTTGGGAAATTTTGAAAATTTGGTCCTGTGCACCCCGCCGGACATGCTGTCCGGCTGGTTGCCCAGCCCGGACGTTGGGATCTGGACCTGGACTGCCCAGGGCCTGCCGGACATCCAACCAGACTCTGTGTCTATGTCATACTGTGAACACTGATGCTGCAGGTCCAACCAAGACATCTGGATCTGGACCTGGGCAGCTGAGGGCGTGACGAGTCTTCAACCAGACAACATAGGTTGTATTTGTATGTTTGCGGTGAGTACTGATGATGTGTTACTTAACTTACTCTGTTATACGTATACTTTGTATGTGATATGTATTCACTGTACTTAGTGTACTACATTCAACAGAATGGGCCGATTTCAAAGCTCGGGGCTACCGGGTCTACCTCCCAAAACAAAAGCCTAATAGAACTACCAGTCTGGAAAGTCCTATTGCTATGCCAGGTTAACTAACAGAGGCTCTACAGAGAGGTCTCGGGTTCAAAACTCTCCTGCTTCAAAACAGCAAATAGAAACAAAAGAACTGTACTTACCTCATTTGGTTCCAGGTTCATATCCTGACAAGGACAAAAATAACAAACACTTGAGAAACAGCAAATGCATGGGCAGGTTGCGGGTTCGAATCCTCCAAACCCAACAAGGTATGGTACCTAACCGATGGAAGTTGGTAACTTGTTTGCGTTTTGGTCGAGCCAATATCCCTGTCGGTTGTCCTCGACGTGATTTGAGTTTCCTCTGACAATTTGGTTCCGGCACATGAGCAGTATTGAGCTGCCGCTGTCAACACACGAGAACACATATATCATCGACGCACGCTGAGAGAATAATTGTCTTGACGAGCAGGTCAAGTTGCCCGCTTGGCTTGGGAACAGGAAGTACCTTGCACAGGCTGAAAGGAGCGAGCTTGACAGATCTTGTCCCCTTCACTTCCATACTTTTCACCATACTTTTCACAGAACGAGATCGAGTTTTGTACCCAGAGCCCATTGCTGAGCACTAGAGCGAATAAACATGTAGTAAAGGCCTCTGGACTTTGCTTGCAAGAGCCATCATGCAGGCATCAAAAGCAGAGTGAAGGTTGGTGCAGTCAGTGAACTGCTGACTGACACTCAGCTAACCAAGCAGCAGACAGTAACCGTGTTCAGGCCGCAACGATATTACAGCTGCCGGCAGAGTAGAAACGATATCCCCGCTCTACAAAATCTCTCTCTCTCTCTCTCTCTCTCTCTCTCTCTCTCTCTCTCTCTCTCTCTCTCTCTCTCTCTCTCTCTCTCTCTCTCTCTC